GCATCATATATTACAATCATGAGTGCAAATCACACACAATCAAATCAATACTGATCAGGTCGAATAAATTTTCTCAAGTGGATATATTCAGTGTACGTATGTACGTGTTTGTGTGTGTTTGTGTGTTGGTTAATTGAGTGTTCGGTTTTTCGTAAATATTGATGGATTGTGAAGGAAATTAATGATTAGTAATGAATAATGAAGTAGTAAGTATATTATTAGAGGTTATTAGAGTGCATGTGAGTCGAGATTATTCATAATATAAAGTGAGATGAATGGGAAGGTGCCATTCGATGCGTTTGTGAGATGCGCATTCGATCTGATTAGTCGCGCTTACCAAAATCATCCAAACAATTCACACTCGGTCTGATTATATTGCCTTGCGGTACTTCACATGGCTGTGGTCGATATTTCACTATAATTTTAACAAACCCTTAATCATTCAGTTATGGTCATCATACATATTCAGCTCCGGTTTTGACCATGAAAGCAACTCATTGCACTCAATGATCAGCAGTAGATCACGATACTCTCATCTGTGCCCTTCATAGATATTCAGCAGTAATAATAGAATCTCAATTGCTGAATGTATCTTACCGTCACAATTTACTCATTCGAATAACAAGTTAGCTCCATAATAGATAGAGCGTATGCTGAATTGTTTTGTCATGTTCATTTTGAGTCAGCCTAATTTGTCATTTGATAACTATTAACTAAAAACACATAGAACACGAACAATGGAGAGCATTTGCTTGGACGAGAACGAACAGTACGAACATTGTTTGGGTTTGTGAGTGTGTAGCATGAACTGCTGTTTGACTCGTGCAAAATAACTGCTCTAAAGTTTCTAATCTGCGTGTGTATTGCAGACAAATGATTCAAGCGATTTCTGGACTCATGCAAATCATCGCAAAACCGGTTTATTTCCGCTGGGAAATCATTCATTTTTGTATTGGAAATTTCAATCCGATTTCATGTTCATCGGAAATTTGTGACTATTCACATTCGTTTCTTGGATATATCATCATGCCGTTCATCCAATAACAGTTCAGTCGTATTTCAAAGCCGCCAAAACTTTGCGCTTACAACCATTCCGTTAAAATATTGTTTCAAGCAAGCTGTGAATAATAAGCATAACGAAGCTTCTGGTGTGACTTAATAAGCTTGAACATACGAGCGATGCGATCGGAGATAGCCGTTCATCAACCTGTCAAATCTTATTTTTAAGAGATCGGAATTCTTTTCACAAATTGATCGCTTCATTTGACGGTTGGCTCTAAAGCTGAGTGCATGAACGAGAACAACGAATGTGCCAGTGACATACACTCACATACACATATCATGACTGATATGTACGATAAAAATGGAGTTAACTGATAACATTAGCCATTCGTATTGTTAACAAGGACGACTGCTCCTGATATGCTGTCATTTATCGCTTCTCATCACAAATATCACTACTAACGAACTGATCTCAAAAAATTTTCAGCTGCTCCAAGCACTCGCTTCGGACGTCATCGATGATAACCGCTCAGTGTTTCAGTGCAGAGCAGTGATAATCACAGCTTCGGAATTGCAGAAGTCGACTACGAAAAATACGATCCATTTAAGCGAGTTTCAGTCAAAGTTTAGTGAATTCTCGGGCGAATCAACAGAGGACATTATGTGAAACGACAGAACATTATCATAGCATCAACATGATAGCAAAATTTTTTTTGGAAACATTAACAATAAGCAAGCGAATCACAACGATTAACAAGCAAACGAAATAATGTCGTTTATTCGAGCAAGTTTTCTGCTGTTCTATAATTATTGATAGTGGTTTTGCAATCCAATCAGTATCGTGAATTCAGATTATTTTGTAGCTCTACTAGAACCGACACCACGAAACCAAGGATTATTATGGAAAATTATCCGAATAATTGTCATTACCTCAAAAAATAACTGATTATTTTTTCAAAAACAAAAAACGAACAAATCGATTTGGCATGCAAACAAATAGGACAACATAAAATTGGATTAAATGATAAATAATTTGGAAAAATACGATGTGTTCTATTGAAAATTCTCACAGAACTGATTTAAGTTATGAATTCTTGATTAGATATGAGCAGAAATTTTTTCTTCGACAAAATTAGCTTATCAACCAAAATTGTGAGAGCGGATTCATGTACAGAATGATTTCAAAGTAACGATAAATCAGTTGAACTCTGGTGATACAATAAGATCGAATTAGAAAAGGCAACGAAAATGCGTTAGGTAGCACATGCGATTTGATGAAAGCAACACAACACATACGCTCCTGAATGATACACGATTGCTCCTAGTTGACTGTAATGGGAAAACGATTGGAACGAAAACGGTGGCAATGCTTGAGCATTGAATCGAGATTTGGAAGGAAAGTGTTATAATGAGCGACCATATGATCAGATAACGTTTCTGCAGTGCTTATCTGCTGCAGTCAGCATTCAAAACATACTTCCAAGGTCGGATTTTCTAGGATTTGGGAATCTTAATAGCTTAGCTTTCCTTCTCTTTTCATACATGGAATAACTTCATGCTTTCGGTATTCTGATCTTTTAGTGTTAATGTCACTCAATCAACTAATAAAACATGGGGTCATTTTTAGAGGTGTGACTGGTCGAAAAAATTCTTCGATTGTCTGACAAAATGTTCAGCGATTTGGGAACAACATGGATTCATGGTGAGCGAAAATGGGATTGAAGCATGAGATGGTGAACGAAGTGTGAGCTGTGCAAAATACTGCCAGTTGCTTCAAGCATATTTGGTAATAACAGAACAGGACACTTTTGCTAAGCGAATCATTACGGCACATAGATAAACAAAGGCAACAAATCTTTTCCTAATCCAAACGAACCTCCTCTATGACTGTATGACTGCTCCTATCATATAACTACTTAAAAGCCTTTCATTGATTAGCACGTGATAAATTGATAAAATTGATAAGCACAGAATTATTGTCTCTCACTCGGCCTATTCAAACGTACTATTTTACGTTAGAAAACGTGGAATCGAATGAAAAACTATAGTTATTATTTAAGGGTCTACTTCCGGAGGTGTTTGTGAACTTTTAAGATAATCATCTGATCTTATTAACCTGATCGACCGGAGTGAAGGAAACAGTAAAACTTGCGTTAGAATTATTGTGATCCAAACTTAATTTTGTATCCGAACAACTATGTTATAAAGGAGATGCTTGGTGAATTCCAGTTCAATTCTATGGAACACATCCGTTTTTTTTGATTGATCAAAAGTTCGTGTTGTTTAGAGCAAACATGATAAATCCTTCACAAATAGCGGTCGATCCTTAACTCAACTAAATACAGTTACGCGAGTGATAAGACTGATAATCTTATCAGTTAATCTCATCTCTCATCATCTTTATCTAGCAGCACTAATGACGATGAGAAGAACGACGTCGCACAACGCGATATCTGCGACGTCGATTGCGACGGACGTTTCTACGATTATTAGTATTATCACCTTCTGGTGTAGGCACAAATACGACGTCTGATGGTCCCACGTGACCAATCGGCTCACATTCGCGTCCGCCGTGTGTTCGTGAACGTGTATATCCCGGTGCGCATCTAAATAGCACGTTATCGATACTTTTTCGTGTCGCCTTGATTAATAACCTCAGAGGTGCGTGTAATTATCCGAGGATCTGTAGGGGTAAACCATTCAAAAGAAAGGGAATTACTAAAGGAGAAGAGAATTACCTAATGGGCTGTGGTTTTCAAATCTATCCCTAAGCTTCAGTATCTTAAAGTACAATCAAATCTTATCAGGCGATTCAGAATGTAACATCAAAATCTTTTTAAATGAAAGTTTGAATGAAATTGTTAGTTTTCAAAATGATCATGATCATAGAATCTTATTTGTTCACTCCAAATGATCCCCATTGATCAGGAGTTGTGGAATTCGTATAAATGATTAGGGAATACGTTTCAGAATGTTACATCTATTCAAAAGTCAATAATTTGTGTCGAAATGAATGACATACTCGTCGCAAAGTCGTCCGCTGAATCCAGCAGGGCAGTTACGGCACTGAACTTGACCATACGGATCCAAGAAACAATCCGATGCAGCACTAAATCAAATATTGCTGAGTCAACACAACGAAACAATAATTGAACTAAATGCAGTTACGGGAGTGACAAGACTGATAACCTTATCAGTTAGTCATGTCTCTCATCATCTTTATCTAGCAATTAAATACCAACAAATCATAATGCAGTGCATCAATACGATCAATTTAACAATTCGAGATTCCCATCGAAAAACTCATCCAGTCGAAGCACTGTAAAAGATCAAAAAACTGAAAACTAACGGGCATGGACATGGTGTGCAATCATAGGGAGTGCCACGAGTAGCATCACCGTAATATCCTTTCTTGCACTGTTCGCAGTGAATTCCTTCAGTACTATGTTCGCACATCTGAATCAAGAAGCCAACTGTGAACGCAAACACAACTATCATATTTAACAAATTAGCACGGAAAGCATATTGACAAATGAAAATTCATCTGATTACGGAGGAAACAAGTCGAATTATACCAATACTATCAAGAAACTAACCAAGCATCTTCCGAACGAATCACATCCTCTTGGCGAGTGATTGTTGCAATTGCAAGGTGGTCGTGTCGCAGCCGGTTGACAATCGTGTGGAGTACCACGTCGTGCATCACCCGAAAAACCGGGTTTGCATCGTTCACATTGATCTCCTTCAGTGTTGTGTTGACAGTCAATACAGAAGCCATGTTCCTGAAAAAATCGCCACCATACATTCAGAATCCTTCTAAGAAGTCAGCAATGGAACACAAATGAAACTACATCAATGGCATAGAATCTCTGCATTTCAAGTCGTCGATTGATACTGAACGTCATTTCCGATTTCATTTCAAGCACAACTGCTATTGAACAGTTTTTTTGGTGATCGTTCTTGAGACTAATAGTGAGTGAACTCTCATTGGAAAACAATGAGAATTCAGTGTGGACTAATAAGAGAACTTATAACTTTGATCACTTCTCACATACAAAAGTTGTATTTCTTGTCGTGATTGAATGAACATGGGGAACATTAGATTGAACAACTACGAAGAGAACTAAACTCGCTATCCATAGTAACACTAAAGGATCAATCTAGGGTTTAGAATTTACGAAATGTCTATATAGGGTGAGTTGAATTCAGCCAGCGATTTCTGGAGCATTAATGATTTGAGAGTACCTTATCGCATTGTGTGGCATGTCCGTGGCATTCGCAGCGTTCACAAAGACCCAAATAGAGGCCTCCCGAGACTCTTGAATAGCCTGGTGCACAGTCCTCGCATGATGTTCCCATATAGCCAGGTGGACACACGCATTGTTCCACTTCATACGCCATACGATTGCCAGTCTGTTGTGGTTCAGCATGTTCTAGCGATACGCTGATCAGCGATGACATCGAACAATCATCCAAATAATTCATCTTGATCAGTATGTGATCCAGATCTGAGAGCGCCATCAAAAGATGTTCACGTGTTGCCGGCTGTCCATCGATACGGGTCCAATGGTTTTCGAATAGTTTCACCTCGACAACGTTCTCACGATCTGCATGAGTCGGTTGTGGATTCTTGTATGAGAGCATGATATCGTTTCCCTGAAACATGATATATATCCAAATGCATATGCTAGACAACGATATCCACTGCGATCACAGACAGAATCATTAAAGTTCATGACCCCAAATGTGATTCTCATCAAGATGATGTGATGCAATTGTCATAAAGTAAGACAGTCCTGTGAAGTAAGGCAGAATGATAAGTTGGTTGAAGAACTGAAACTCTCAAAATATTGTGCAAGTGAAACAAATCTTTCAAGGATTTATTTATGCCACTACCTAATCCTCTCACTATTATCAACTTATTTTATGAAATCGCTATCTAGTCAACAATGCATGAAATTCTTCTTACGCGAATGATGACATCGGGATCGCCGTTGAGTGATCCAGCACCAGAATATCTGAACACATATTTGAGTGTGCCACCGTAACTGGTGACCTTGTTGCCGAGGAACGGCGCAGGCATCTTCCAGTAGAGTGTTTGTCCGGGTGTTTCGTAGAACGATGAATAGGAGATTTCGCGACCAGTCAGCTGTGGGCGAGATTGTGGCCTGAAATGTTCCAGATCAATAACTGAAAATGTGCGAATTTCGGGAGAATGAAGCTATTATCGTTGAAAAATGATCAAAAAAACTTTTATCTATATCCGTAATCTTCATGCTCCCTATGATATTGCATTTAGAGTTTAACTGGAAATGACACCCAGAGCTTGGTTCCATAATGTTTTTAAGTAAACTCTTCCCTCAAAGATCCTATAGTAACACGTCAATCAAGAGGAATCGCGGAAAAAATGGCCAGTATTATGAGCGATGACTTACTGGAATGGTGCATGTATATCGCTTGTGGTGACCTCAAGTTGATCGGCTGAACCTTGCATATAGTTGATTTCAATTGTGGCTCTTGAGTAGCCTGATTGTGAGCACTGTTGGGTGACTCCAGAGCAGAAGCACGGAATGCATCCTTGTGGATTCTCAGCTGACATGTGGAAACTGTTCGGAGGACACTGGTCACATTGTGCTCCGATTGCGTACGCTTTACACTGACAAACACCACCGTATGATGGTTGCACACTAACCGCACCAGCTGCCGAACACTGTGGAGCACCTCGAGCTGGAACGCATGTGCCAAGGTATGGACCATGACCGGATCGTTCGTAACCGGGTGCGCACTCTTCACATGAAAGGCCAGTATAACCTGAAAATGAATTTGGTCAGATACCTTTTTCGTCGAGACTATCAGCAATACATCTATCTTTGTTGGGATTGTTCAGAAAACAACATTTCATAGTTGTGTGAACATCTGAACATTGAAGGATGCTCAAAGCGAAAGATGAATAAATGATGTACCTGGAGGACAAGAGCACTGCTCCACTTCAAGTGCGAGTCTGTCTTGAGTGTCACGATCGACAGCAATCTCCCAGCTTACGTCTCCCAAACTGAAATAACGCAAAAAAGTAATATGATGAATCTGATTATTTTGTTTGAATGATAGGGTACTGAGTGAAGCCCAAAATAATGAAGTGATCAACAAAATGCTCACCTAGTTGATCGTTGATCATCACAGTGAGTGGCTCGAATCATTAATGAGCTCAAATCGGCCAAGACCATTACGAGATCTTCTCGACTTGCTGGACGTCCATTTTCATGCTCGAAATTGGTCTGAAATATTTGCATGTTCTCATATTAACTGCCTAATTTAGCACAGCAAACGTTCTCAGCTAATCAGAATGGGACGCGTTGAAAATTTTGATTAATAATAACACGAGTACAAAAATCCTCAATGTTCGAAGTTCCTTCTCCCATCAGATGTTGTGTGCCTAACATGAGAAATTTTGAATCTGACCTCATAGGTATCAACAGTAACACGATTGCTTCTGTCCGGTGCTGCCAATTGACTACTATCACGTGGACGATGGATGAGTGTAATCTTGTTACCCTGGAATATTGAAAATTCATTAGATTGAAATATTGAAATATTCACCGTTAGAATATTCTCTAGAGGGAAAGGAATCAAACTAAAAGATTGTGAGAAAATAACGACGAAATAACCTTGATGATGACAAGCGGCTCTTGCGATAACTGTCCTGAGCACGAATGCTGTACATCGAAAGCTAGCTCACCGCCGTATGAACTGATCTGTAAGTTGGATCATTCTCTTGATTCATTCCAATCAATTCATGATATCACTATCAACTGAACCGGAATACAACAGTTCTTAAATGTTTTCTGAAAACCGTCCCCCTCCCCTCCCCCCCTCTCACCTGAACGAGTTGAGACCGCAATCAAATTGGTTATTTTCCGTTTACTGTACAAAGCGTTTATTACTCGTTACGAACATATGTAACCATGGGAAATTGCGATAATTTTTCAACATTCTATTCTTATCATCTAAAATCGCTTTGTCAACATATCGTTTTTGCCCAACGCACGCAACTTCGTTTATCATAAAGAACATGAATGGGAGTATTATAAGTTTATAAGCTGAAACAACAACGCAACGGTACCCTATTTCCGAGGAAGCGTTGTGGCATTCTCCAGTATTTCACTGCACCATAACCACCATTCGAG